ACCAAGCACCCACCCACTCACCCGCCCACTCAGTCACCCACCCACTCGCTCACTCCACCCACCCACTCACACCCCCCACACTCACCCACCCACTCACCCGCCCACTCAGTCACCCACCCACCCACTCGCTCTCCCGCCCACCCACTCACCGCCCACTCAGTCACCCACCCACTCACCCGCCCACTCAGTCACCCACCCACCCACTCGCTCACACACCACTCACCCACCCGCTTACTCACCCACTCACCTACCTACCTGCTCGCTCTCCGCTCCCACTCACCCACCAACTCACTCACCCACCCACCCACTCACCCACCCACTCACCTGCCCATTCAATCACCCACCCACTCAGTCACCCACCTACCCACCCATCCCACCCACCCGCCCACCCACCCCCCACCGGCTCGCTACGACGGTGACCGGCGCTACCTCACGAACGGCTGCAGCGAGCGTTGGGGCCCAGCCACCTGTGCCCTCATCTCGTTCCTGCGGCATCTGGTGTCGTCGTCGCTGAAGAGGCTGGGTGGCGGCGGCGGCGTCGATGGGGAGGGGGGGCGGCCCCCTCGGGGCTGAGGGGGGGCAGGTGGAAGGGGCTGTCCAGGCTGTCATCCTACGGGCGGCAGAGATGCGCAGCGCAGCGCAGAAGGTCGCTTCCTTTCATGTTAGCGCTACCAAGCGCCGCGTCGTCATCATCATCATCTACGTGGACATTCACAGCAGCCAATACTCCAAAACGCGCCACGTTGATTCTAAGTGAGGAAGGAAAAGACCGGAGGACGTGGTGACAAATCCACGCAGCCACGGGGAGAGACAGCGAGAGACATGCAAACTCCAAATACACACGTGTTTGGTGTGTGTGTACACGTGTGTGTGGTGTGTGTACATGTGTGTGTGTGTGTACACGTGTGTGTGTGTGTACAACGTGTGTGTGTGTACACGTGTTGGTGTGTACGTGTGTGTGTCACGTGTGTGTGTGTGTGTGTCACGTGTGTGTGTTGATGTGTGTACACGTGTGTGTATATGTGTGTGTACACGTGTGTGTGTGTCACGTGTGTGTGTGTCACGTGTGTGTGTGTGTCACGTGTGTGTGTGATGTGTGTACACGTGTGTGTGTGTACGTGTGTGTGTCACGTGTGTGTGTGTGTCACGTGTGTGTGTGTCACGTGTGTGTGCGTGTGATGTGTGTACCGCTTCTACGTAGAGGGGAGGGGGGGCTCGGCATGGCTGGGGCGACAGCTCCAGTGAGTGTGGCCTCTGTGAATTCACGACGCGAACGTCCTCAAACGAAGCATCACAATCAACACTCAAACTCGACATTCACAATCAAAAATACAGATCGATTAATCAATCGATCTTTATTTTCCGTGCCAATATCAATAAAGTGTGCACAAAGTAATGTGAGTGAGACAATTAGCCCATCGCCACCTCAGTAGCAAACCCCGCGGTGCGAAAGAAATCCAGCTGTAGGTGCGGACTTGCAAAGCGAAGTGCAATCCGCGTGTCCCCGTGTCCCCCGCGTGTCCCAGTGTGTCCCCACGTGTCCCCGTGTGTCCCGCGTGTCTCGTGTCCCCAGTGTGTCCCCAGTGTGTCCCCGTGTGTCCCCACGTGTCCCCAGTGTGTCCCCGCGTGTCTCGTGTCCCCGTGTGTCCCCGCGTGTCCCCGTGGTGTCCCCACGTGTCCCCAGTGTGTCCCCGCGTGTCCCCGTGTCCCACCGTGTGTCTCACCCAGGGCGTCGGGAGAGGCGGCGAGTGGCGCGGCGCGGATGTCGTCGACCGTGCGCCCTCTTCGTGACTTCCACGTCGGCCTCCAGTGAAATCCTGGAGAGACAGAGACGCACGCAGAGCGGGTGAGTGAGAGGGTGAGTGAGTGGGAGAGTGGGTGAGTGAGTGGGTGAGTAAGTGAGTGGGTGAGTGGGTGTGTGATTGGGTGAGTGGGTGAGTGGGAGAGTGGGTGAGTGGGGTGAGTGAGTGTGCGAGATTGCGTGTGTGAGTGGGTGAGAGCGACAGTGGGTGAGTGAGTGGGTGAGTGGCTCAATCAAAGGGTGTGTGAGTGTATCAGTGAGTAGGTATATGAGTGATTGGGTGAGTGCGAAAGTGAATGGGTGGGTGAGTGGGACAGTGGGTGAGTGGGTGAGTGTGCGAGTGAGAGGACGGGTGAGTGAGTGGGTGAGTAAGTGCATGAGTAGGTGCGTAAGTGATTGGGTGTGTGAGTGAGTGTGCGAGTGAGAGTGTGTGAGCGAGTGTGCGAGTGAGAGTGGGTGAGTGAGTGGGTGCTTGAGTGAGTGGGAGTGGGTAGGTGGGTGAGTGGGACAGTGGGTGAGTGGGTGTGCGAGTGAGTGAGTGTGCGAGGGTGCATGAGTGAGTGGGAGTGGATAGGTGGGTGAGTGTGTGAGTGAGTGTGCGAGTGAGAGAGTGTGCGAGTGAGAGAGTGCATGAGTGAGTGGGTGGGTGAGTGGGACAGTGTGTGAGTGGGTGAGTGAGTGTGCGAGTGAGTGAGCGAGTGGGTTAGGTCGGTGAGTGGGACAGTAGGTGAGTGGGTGAGTGAATGTGCGAGTGAGAGAGTGAGTGGGTGCGTGAGTGGGACAGGAGGTGAACCTGATCCCGGGCCTCCCCTAGGTCGACTCAGCCTCAAACGAGTACCTGGTGCGATGTGCAAACATCTTTCACTAGGGAGGCAAAGGCCGTGCCGGCCTTCATAGGTGCTCGCTCGCAGCACTTGCCCTACAGTCTGTTAAGGCTACACGGGGGATCTTTGTCTTTGGGCGAGTGCTGGTGTGTTGTGCGGCCTCCGTGCCCACCTGGATGGATGTTGAGTGACTCCAGAATCTTCATAAGTCCCATCCTTGCGCAAGACCTCCTCATCCTCCTCCTCCACAGCTGCCGATCATGATCATCGTCAATATCATCAACGTAAGTCATCAGCGTCATCATCAGCGTCATCATCAGCGTCATCATCAGCGTCATCATCAGCAGCAGCAGCGTCATTCATAAAGCAGAATCAGCGGCATCATCAGCGATCTTTGTGTTTGTGTGCAGGCGCAGAGAGGAGTTGACACACGAGGGATGGATGACACACAACACACACCACACACATTCACAACACACACCACACACATTCACAACACACACACACAACACACACACATTCACAACACACACACAAAACACACACACATTCACAACACACACAACACACACACATTCACAACACACACACAACACACACATTCACAACACACACCACACACAACACACACACCACACACACATTCACAACACACAACAACACACACACATTCACAACACACACATTCACAGCACACATATACACACGCACACATCCCACACAATACACACGTTCCACACACACACACACACCACACACACACACCACACACACACCACACACAAACATTCACAACACACACAACACAAACACCACACACAAACAAACACACATATAATACACGCACACATCCCACACAATACAAACATATACCACACACACACATATACAGACATACACACCACACACACATATACCACAACACACATATACCACACACACATATACCACACACACATATACCACACACACACACATATACCACACACACACACATATACAGACATACACACCACACCACACCACACAAACACCACACACACACATTCACAACGCCCACCACTGCCGTGTGTATGTTGAACTTCGTTCGCACCGTACGTAGCCAAACGCGCCTATTGGAGGTGCAGGGAAACCACTTTAACCCAAATCACCGCCAACCACCACCACCATCACCACCATCACCTTCAGCATCACCACCATCACCATCACCACCACCATCACCACCACCACCATCACCACCACCATCACCACCATCACCTTCAGCATCACCACCATCAGCATCACCACCATCACCTTCAGCATCACCACCATCACCACCATCAGCATCACCATCACCACCACCATCACCTTCAGCACCACCACCATCACCACCACCACTACCACCACCATCATCACCACCACCACCACCACCATCAGCATCACCATCACCACCACCATCACCACCATCACCTTCAGCATCACCACCATCAGCATCACCACCATCACCTTCAGCATCACCACCATCACCACCATCAGCATCACCATCACCACCACCATCACCTTCAGCACCACCACCATCACCACCATCAGCATCACCATCACCACCACCATCACCTTCAGCACCACCACCATCACCATCACCACCACCATCACCTTCAGCACCACCACCATCACCACCATCATCACCATCACCACCATCAGCATCATTATCTCAGAGTTCTCGCTCGCTCGCGTCCGATGGGTTCCCACACGGTGGCCGCTACCATCCGTGTGGAGCGAGAGGAGAGAGCAGGTGGGGAGACAGCAAGTGTTGAATCTCTTGCGGAGACATTTCAGGCAGGTCCGCTTGCTCTGCAAACTGCAACGAAAAACGAATAGAATCTGGCGAAGCACCTTAACCATTCCCTACATTCATAGAGCGCCTGACCTCAAGCTGCTTGTACATCGCTTAAATGTGGTGACAAAATTACGGCCCAGTCCACGCTGAATAAGCGGCGTTCACACAACGTACGGATGTTGAACAGCCCTTAGACTTTCGCTATGATAGGCCAGTAACCCCGCCCGGCCACCTTTGTCTCCCCAGTGGCGATGTTGACTACACACCGCACCAGGTACTCGTACGAAGCTGAGTCGACCGAGGGAAGGCCCAGGACCGGTTAGGATCATCGTCAGTGATGTTGTCGCCGGTGAGCGAGAATCGAACGCGGGTGGCCGGGTCCGTGGCGCAGTGTGCTAACTGCTACACCACCGCTCACACACGCACACACGCAGACACACGCACACACACGCACGCAGACACACACACACGCAGACACACGCACACACACGCAGACACACGCACACACACGCTCACACACACACGCACACACGCAGACACACACACACGCACGCACACACACGCAGACACACGCACACGCACGCATGCACACGCATGCCCAAACACGCAGACACACGCACACACACGCAGACACACGCAGGACACACGCACACACGCAGACACACGCAGACACACGCACACACACGCACACACGCACGCACACACACGCAGACGCACGCAGATACACGCACACGCAGACACACGCACACATGCAGACACACGCACACGCACGCAGACACACGCACACACACGCACGCACACACACGCACACACACACACACGCACGCACACACGCACACACACGCAGACACACGCAGACACACACACGCACACACACACACGCACACGCACGCAGACACACGCACACACACGCACGCACACACACGCACACACACCACACGCACGCACACACGCACACACGCGTTGTTGACAAATGTGTTGAGTTTCAGTGGTAAATGATAAGAAACTTACCATGCCCTCCTCTGGCACCAGAGACTTTAAATCTCGCATCGTAAACGGTGGCTCTGCACACGCACAAAGACAAAGATCCCCCGCGTATAGACTTAGCGGACTGTAGGGGCAAGTGCTGTTAGCAGGTAGCAAATACGAAGGCCGGCACGGCACACAAGGGGGTGGGTGGCCAGCACCACGCCCGGCCGCCTTTGTCTCCCCAGTGGCGATGTTTACTACACACCGCACCAGGTACTCATTTGAGGCTGAGTCGACTTAGGAGAGGCCCAGGACCAGTTCACATAATCGTCACGCAAATAACACACATGCACACATGCATGTTCAAAGTGACTTCCATTATCAACATTTCATGCACAATGCACGCATTAAAAACAAATGATTTTATGAACTTTAATAATTACAGGCATCATCTTTGAACATTCATCCATTATGATCTGTTGTCTAAATTAATTTATGGGTTCTTGGTCGAGTTTTGTGAGACTTTGTTCAGATGAGGCAGTGGAAAAAACACCATCCATACCATGCTAGCTTGGCTCAGATGTATCAGTGAAAAAACACCACCCGTACCGCGCTGCCTTGGCTCAGATGTAGCAGTGGAAAAACACCACCCGTACCGCGCTGGCTTGGCTCAGATGTAGCAGTGGAAAAACACCACCCGTACCACGCTAGCTTGGCTTAGATGTGGCAGTGGAAAAACACCACCCGTACCACGCTAGCTTGGCTTAGATGTGGCAGTGGAAAAACACCACCCGTACCATGCTGGCTTGGCTCAGATGTAGCAGTGGAAAAACACCACCCGTACCATGCTGGCTTGGCTCAGATGAGGCAGTGGAAAAGGATGTATTGGTCGCATCAACAGAGGCGGGTGTGTAGGTGCATCTTGCATTCACCAGGTGATAGAGGAGAGCCAGATGGAGGCAGGGGACTCAGCACATCTGCTTGAAACTGTCGGGCAAAGACAAAGATCCCCTGTGTAGTCAACGCAAACGATGGGGCAAGTGCTGTGAACGGGCACACACACACGCGCGCACACACACACGCACGCACACACAAACGCACACACGCACACACACACACACGCGGGTACCTCGATTGCATGGAGAGTTTCTGAGGCTCGGGTTAGGAAGGTCATGACCCCGAACCAGGGGTCAGCAGCTCCCAGGGTCTCCTCCATGATGGACAATTCATCCGGAAGCGTCAGCCGCAGTCTAGCAGACACATTGCGATGTTCATGTTTGTCCTCATGGTGGTGATGATGGTGGTGATGGTGGTGATGGTGGTGATGGTGGTAATGGTCGTAGTGATGCTGGTTGTGATGGTGAAGATGGTGGTGATGATGGTGGTGGTGATGATGGTGGTGATGGTCGTAGTGATGCTGGTTGTGATGGTGAAGATGGTGGTGATGATGGTGGTGGTGGTGATGATTATGCCGGTGGTAATGGTGGAGATGGTAATGATAGTGGTAGTCATGGCGTGGTGGTGAAGATGGTGGTGACAATGGTGATGATGATGATTGCTTGTGTTGCAATCGAAACGTCGTATGCTATTATTTAATTTAATTTATTATTTTATCTTTAGACGTGACTTAACCGAAAGAACCAAATAATCATTTACTGCAGTCACGAAAGTTCTAAAATTAAGATTGAACCACTTCTACGGGGAAGTTTGAGCTTATCCTTTTTTCTCTCTCTCTTCTCTCTGCCTGTGTCTTCTCTTTGGAATGTTCACACTTAAATTCTAACTTAGCAATCTTTTAAATACGTAATCAACCAGGCTATGCGTTAATTGTGTGTTGACCGACTCTCTGTGTTGTATTACATTACATTTCGATATTTTGCTAGGTTATTGAATTTTAGTTTGTCCTTCTGATTTTCAGACTTGCTTGCCGTGTCATCGCACTTGCAGAACCTTGTTTTTTGGACCACTCATTGATATGCAAATGTTTTCCCTAACCCCCTCCCTCTCTCTGCCTCCTCCCCCCTCTGTCTATTTAAGGCCACCCCACAGAGATGATCACCCCTCTCTGGTTCCTGTGTTGCTCCCTCTATGTATCTTGGTGATATCTGTCTGCTAATATCTCTGTCTATAGTTTTCTGGTTAGATTCTATGTTGCTATTTCATTATACCTGATGATGATTGCTTGTGTTGCAATCGAAACGTCGTATGCTATTATTTAATTTAATTTATTATTTTATCTTTAGACGTGACTTAACCGAAAGAACCAATAATCATTTACTGCAGTCACGAAAGTTCTAAAATTAAGATGATGGTGGTGACGATGGTGGTGACGATGGTGGTGACGATGGTGGTGACGATGGTAGTGATGATGGTGAAGATGGTGGTGACGATGGTGGTGACGATGGTGGTGACGATGGTAGTGATGATGGTGAAGATGGTGGTGACGATGGTGGTGACGATGGTGGTGACGATGGTGGTGACGATGGTAGTGATGATGGTGAAGATGGTGGTGACGATGGCGGTATTCTGGTGATGCGGCTGATGATGATGCTGCTTCTGCTGCTGATGATGCTGCTGATGATTCTGCTGCTGATGATGCTGCTGCTGCTGCTGATGATGATGATACTGATGCTGCTGCTGATGATGCTGCTGATGATGATGCTGCTGCTGATGATGCTGCTGCTGTCACCTCTCCGTCTCCTCCATGTCGATGCGAGCCACCGTCGCCGCCCTGTGCAGCTTCTCCAGACACGAGCGCACGTCGTCTGAAGGGCGACACGCGTCGACGCAACATCACCCTCACCACCCCCCCACCTCGTCACCCCCCCACCTCGTCAACATCACCCCTCACCACCCCCCCCACCTCGTCAACATCACCCCCCCACCTCACCCCACCCACCTCACCCCATTACCTCACCCCACCAACTCACCCTCACACCTCACCCCCCCCACCTCACCCCCCCCCTCACCCCACTACCTCACCCCACCCCCTCACCCCCCCCACCTCACCCCCCCCCCTCACCCCACTACCTCACCCCCCCCCACCCTCCCACCTCACCCTCCCACCTCACCCCACCACCTCACCCCCTCACCCTCCCACCTCACCCCGCCACCTTACCCTCCCACCTCACCCCACCCCCTCACCCTCCCACCTCACCCCGCCACCTCACCCTCCCACCTCACACCACTCCCTCACCCCCCCACCTCACCCCACCACCTCACCCCACCACCTCACCCTCACACCTCACCCCACCACCTCACCCCCCACCTCACCCCACCACCTCACCCCACCACCTCACCCCCGTGCGTCTGCCTCACCGATGAGGTAGCCGCTCTGGCGAGAGAAGACGCAGGCCAGGCCGTACATGAGCTGAGCCGACAGGTAGAGGGAGAATCGCCGCAGCTGGCCCTTCTCCTTCACGCGCAGCATCACGTGGTCCAGGACATCGTTACTGCAACATCAACATCACACACACAATACACACCATCAACACCATCATCATCATTATCATCAACACACACACACCATCAACATCATCATCAACATCACACACACATCTCATCATCACACATCAACATCATCATCACCATCACACCATCACATCATCATCACCATCAACATCAACATCACACACACATCATCATCATCACACATCAACATCATCATCACCACACACACACCATAAACATCGTCATCATCATCACACCATCAACATAATTACACACACACCACCATCAACATCACCACCACCACCACCATACAAACCATCAACATCATCATCAACATCATCATCATCACACACACCATCAACATCATCATCAACATCATCATCATCATCACACACCATCATCATCATCACACATCATCATTACACACACCATCATCAACATCATCATCACACATCATCACACATCAACATCATCATCACAAACACCATCAACATCATGATCACACACACCATCATCACACACACCATCATCATCAACATCATCACACACACCATCAACACCACACACACACACACACACCATCATCATCAACATCATCACACACACCATCAACACCACACACACACACACATCACCATCATCATCAACATCATCACCACACACACCATCATGGAGATGCGTTACGACGACCCCATCGTAAGTCAAAAATATCGGGTGCGTGAGTGAGTGGGTGAGTGAGTGGGTCAATGGTGCGTGAGTGAGTGGATGAATGAGTGAGTGGGTTAGTGGGTGAGTGAGTGGGTGAATGAGTGGGTGATTGAGTGGGTGAATGAGTGGGTGATTGAATGAGTGGGTGAATGAGTGAATGAGTGAGTGGGTGAATGGGTGGGTGAGTGGGTCAATGGGTGCGTGAGTGAGTGGATGAATGAGTGGGTTAGTGGGTGAGTGAGTGGGTGAATGAGTGGGTGATTGAGTGGGGTGAATGAGTGGGTGATTGAGTGGGTGAATGAGGTGGGTGAGTGAGTGGGTGAATGAGTTGGTGAGTGAGTGGGTGAGTGAGTGGGTGAGTGAGTGGGTGAATGAGTGGGTGAGTGAGTGTGTGAATGGGTGAGTGAGTGGGTCAATGGGTGCGTGAGTGAGTGGGTGAATGAGTGAGTGGATGAATGAGTGAGTGGGTTAGTGGGTGAGTGAGTGGGTCAATGGGTGCGTGAGTGGGTGAGAAAAACTGATGAACGGAATCGGACCGGGACGGGGTTTTCACGAGTTGTTTGGATGGAGTGGCAAGCAGCAAAGGAGCAACGCTGAATCCGCGACCCGCATCACCGGATGCCCCCGACTCTCACCAGGACAAGTTGACGTTCACAAGCAGCCATTCCCTCCTCGACAGCTTCACTGCTTTGGTGGCGGCCAACCTGCAGCAATGACCAGAGTGGTGAAGTATGGTCACCCCCCCCCCCCCCCACTCCACATTGACCAGAGTGGTGAAGTATGGTCACTCACCCCCCCCCCACTCCACATTGACCAGAGTGGTGAAGTATGGTCACCCCCCCCCACTCCACATTGACCAGAGTGGTGAAGTATGGTCACCCCCCCCCCCCACTCCACATTTACCAGAGTGGTGAAGTATGGTCACTCACCCCCCCCCCCCCACTCCACATTGACCAGAGTGGTGAAGTATGGTCACCCCCCCCCCCACATTGACCAGAGTGGTGAAGTATGGTCACCCCCCCCCACTCCACATTGACCAGAGTGGTGAAGTATGGTCACCCCCCCCCACATTGACCAGAGTGGTGAAGTATGGTCACCCCCCCCCACTCCACATTGACCAGAGTGGTGAAGTATGGTCACCACCCCCACTCCACATTGACCAGAGTGGTGAAGTATGATCACCCCCCCCCCCACTCCACATTGACCAGAGTGGTGAAGTATGGTCACCCCCCCCACTCCACATTGACCAGAGTGGTGAAGTATGGTCACCCCCCCCCCCACTCCACATTGACCAGAGTGGTGAAGTATGGTCACTCACCCCCCACTCCACATTGACCAGAGTGGTGAAGTATGGTCACTCACCCCCCCACTCCACATTGACCAGAGTGGTGAAGTATGGTCACCCCCCCCCCCACTCCACATTGACCAGAGTGGTGAAGTATGGTCACCCACCCCCCCCCACTCCACATTGACCAGAGTGGTGAAGTATGGTCACCCCCCCCCCACTCCACATTGACCAGAGTGGTGAAGTATGGTCACCACCCCCCCCCCCCCCCACTCCACAATGACCAGAGTGGTGAAGTATGGTCACCACCCCCCCCCCCACTCCACAATGACCAGAGTGGTGAAGAATGGTCACCCCCCCCCCCCCACTCCACATTGACCAGAGTGGTGAAGTATGGTCACTCACCCCCCACTTCACATTGACCAGAGTGGTGAAGTATGGTCACCACCCCCCACTTCACATTGACCAGAGTGGTGAAGTATGGTCACCACCCCCCACTTCACATTGACCAGAGTGGGGAAGTATGGTCACCACCCCCCCCCCACTCCACATTGACCAGAGTGGTGAAGTATGGTCACTCCCCCCCCCACTCCACATTGACCAGAGTGGTGAAGTATGGTCACCCCCCCCCACTCCACATTGCCCAGAGTGGGGAAGTATGGTCACCCCCCCCCCCCCACTGACCAGAGTGGTGAAGTATGGTCACCCCCCCCCCCCACTCCACATTGACCAGAGTGGTGAAGTATGGTCACTCACCCCCCCCACTCCACATTGACCAGAGTGGTGAAGTATGGTCACCCCCCCCCACTCCACATTGACCAGAGTGGTGAAGTATGGTCACTCACCCCCCCCACTCCACATTGACCAGAGTGGTGAAGTATGGTCACTCCCCCCCCCCACTCCACATTGACCAGAGTGGTGAAGTATGGTCACCCCCCCCCCCCACTCCACATTGACCAGAGTGGTGAAGTATGGTCACCCACCCCCCACTCCACATTGACCAGAGTGGTGAAGTATGGTCACCCCCCCCCCCCACCTCCACATTGACCAGAGTGGTGAAGTATGGTCACTCAACCCCCACTCCACATTGACCAGAGTGGTGAAGTATGGTCACCACCCCCCCCCCCCACCTCCACATTGACCAGAGTGGTGAAGTATGGTCACTCAACCCCCACTCCACATTGACCAGAGTGGTGAAGTATGGTCACCCCCCCCCCCACTCCACATTGACCAGAGTGGTGAAGTATGGTCACTCACCCCCCCCACTCCACATTGACCAGAGTGGTGAAGTATGGTCACCCCCCCCCCCACTCCACATTGACCAGAGTGGTGAAGTATGGTCACCACCCCCCCCCCCCACCTCCACATTGACCAGAGTGGTGAAGTATGGTCACTCAACCCCCACTCCACATTGACCAGAGTGGTGAAGTATGGTCACCCCCCCCCCACTCCACATTGACCAGAGTGGTGAAGTATGGTCACTCACCCCCCCCACTCCACATTGACCAGAGTGGTGAAGTATGGTCACCCCCCCCCGTACTTTGATAACAAAAATCGATCAGTTAACAAATGTTTTTGTTAAAAATGCGCCAATATCTTGGCAATATTGATACTTTAATAGCTTTGTGCGAGTTATAAATTGTAGAACTGTACAGGTGACGTGATGTTAACTTTATAAATAAAAACTTTGAGTAGCGTGAGGTAAAAGTTTGTGAGGGAAATGTTTATAAAAAATAACGATTAGGAATGGATAATGACATTTGTAACTTTATAAATTAGAACATTAATACGATGTATTATAAATCTATAAGTGATTAATTAGTATACTGTTGATATATAATTATATATACCGTGCTACTGTGCAAGTGTATCGTTATTAGTACATTCTGCATATAATTTGTAAGATTATAATGTAACTAATTAACTTAAATTAAAGAAATATACGAATACGAACAACGATATCGTCTTCAGTATTATAAACATGTTACATGCGAACACGCTTAATGTTAATACATTAATAGCGAGGATATCGTGAGGTAATATTAATAACTATGTAATGTAGAATAACACATCAATAGCATCATTGCGCTCGTCATCAACTGATTGACAGGTTGATGTATTTACAATAATAATTTTATGTTTATAATTAGACTTAGTCGCTATCAGCTCAAGTTTAGTATATTTGTGAGGTAAAAGTTTGTTTTACCAAATCGTCGCAAACTTTCCACGCCTTCTCAACACCTCAGGGTAATAGAACATGTTTGGTTTTCCCTCAAAATCGCTCTTAGTTAACAATAATAATTATCTCTAAAGTTTGGCGCCCTTCAGACGAGGGAAACTTTAAATCTGTGGCCGCGGCAATTCACGCTCCCACCGCTCTGCGCTGGCCAATATCTCATTAACATAATTTATGCGTCGCTGCGATGACGTCAGATCGCGTTACATTAACATAATATATGCGGTCGCTGCGATGACGTCAGACCGCATAAACATTAACATAATATATGCGGTCGCTGCGATGACGTCATATCGCGTATAACATTAACATAATATATGCGGTCGCTGCGATGACGTCATATCGCGTATAACATTAACATAATATATGCGGTCGCTGCGATGACGTCATACCGCATAAACATTAACATAATATATGCGGTCGCTGCGATGACGTCATATCGCGTATAACATTAGCATAATATATGCGGTCGCTGCGATGACGTCGTATCGCGTATAACATTAACATAATATATGCGGTCGCTGCGATGACGTCAGAACGCGTAATACATTAACATAGTCTATGTGGTCGCCGCGATGACGTCACGGAGCACGCATTCTTTAACATAATATATGCGGTCGCTGCGATGACGTCATATTGAGTAAAAATTAACATAGTTTATGTAATCGCCTCGATGACGACAGGGTCGCCGATGGCATTAACAGTGGAGTCCCCGCGATGACGTCACGGGCTGCACATCTCATTAGCATTACATTTACAGTCGCCGCGATGTCGTCACGAAACTTCATTAACATAATATATGTGCGATCGCTGTGATGACGCGTGTGAGCCGCGTATCTCATTGGCTGCCGTGATGACGTCGCGAGCGGCGAGGGCCAATCGAAAGTGAGCAGCCATTGGCCAATCCGTTCACCAATCGGATGCGTCGGTGGTACGGGCAGGGGGGCGGGGCTAAGGGGGGGGGGGGTTTGGGGGATTAGTCACGTGACCCCCCCCCCCCCAATTTACACCCTGTGACCAGAATGGTGAAGTATGGTCAAAACCAAGACTCACGAACACGACAGCAGTGCAAAGTGCGGGCAAGGGAAACACTAATCACTTTCAAATAGATTAACAACGAAAACCAACCTCTTGTTTCTATCTTAGAGACCCAAAGACACCCACAGAGACCCATAGACACCCACAGAGACACCCACAGAGACCCATATACACCCACAGAGACACCCACAGAGACCCACAGACACCCACAGAGACCCACAGACACCCACAGAGACACCCACAGAGACCCATAGACACCCACAGAGACCCACAGACACCCACAGAGACACCCACAGAGACCCACAGACACCCACAGAGACACCCACAGAGACCCATATACACCCACAGAGACACCCACAGAGACCCATAGACACCCACAGAGACCCACAGACACCCACAGAGACCCACAGACACCCACAGAGACACCCACAGAGACCCACAGACACCCACAGAGACACCCACAGAGACCCACAGACACCCACAGAGACACCCACAGAGACCCATAGACACCCACAGAGATACCCACAGAGACCCACAGACACCCATAGAGACCCATACAGAGACACCCACAGAGACCCATAGATACCCACAGACACCCACAGAGACCCACAGACACCCATAGAGACCCATACAGAGACACCCACAGAGACCCATAGATACCCACAGACACCCACAGAGACCCATAGACACCCACAGAGACCCATACAGACACCCACAGAGACCCATAGACACCCACAGAGATACCCACAGACACCCACAGAGACCCATAGATACCCACAGACACCCACAGACACCCATAGAGACCCATACAGAGACACCCACAGAGACCCATAGATACCCACAGACACCCATAGACACCCACAGAGACCCATACAGACACCCACAGAGACCCATAGACACCCACAGAGATACCCACAGAGACCCATAGATACCCACAGACACCCACAGAGACCCACAGACACCCATAGAGACCCATACAGAGACACCCACAGAGACCCATAGATACCCACAGACACCCACAGAGACCCATACAGACACCCACAGAGACCCATAGACACCCACAGAGATACCCACAGAGACCCATAGATACCCACAGACACCCACAGAGACCCACAGACACCCATAGAGACCCATACAGAGACACCCACAGAGACCCATAGATACCCACAGACACCCACAGAGACCCATAGACACCCACAGAGACCCATACAGACACCCACAGAGACCCATAGACATCCACAGAGATACCCACAGACACCCACAGAGACCCATAGATACCCACAGACACCCACAGAGACCCACAGACACCCATAGAGACCCATACAGAGACACCCACAGAGACCCATAGACACCCACAGAGACACCCACAGACACCCACAGAGACACCCACAGACACCCACAGAGACCCATACATAGACACCCACATAGACCTAGCTCCGTACTACAACAAACAAACATGGCCACACCAAACAAACGCTTTCGAAATCACCAAAATGAAGCCATCGTCACCGTCTCCATCATCGTCACCGTCTCCATGATCCAGCAGTGGACGTGTTTGACCATAGCCTGCAAGGTGACGATGGTCAACCACCCTGGGTTGGACCCCGACCCCGAAACGTCGCCTCCGAGACCCCCATGGAGGCCCCGCGTGGCCTGTACGAGCGAGGGTGGTGGTGGTGCGGGGGGTGGCAGCTGCCACCAGGGGCCGCTGCAGGCCACGTCCGCTCGCTGTGGGAAGAAATAAAATTAAATATTAACAGAGGACGACGTTTCGGTGGCGATAAAAGCAACCGTCAGCAGGAACAAACGAATGAGAAAAGAAACAGAAAACGTTGCAGCCGCGAAAGCTTCGAATCTCCGCTGGAGGCGTCATCGTGGTCGTGTTTGAGATGTCGTGGAAGTGGAGAAGGCTGTGTCGTCAATCCGCGCCACCCTCCACCACCCGACACGGGCAGGTCACGTGGGCACGCAGCGCTCGTCACGTGGACAGAGCGTGCTGCCGATTCGATACCAGTACAGCACTCGTGTAGTGTAGTGTGTAGTGTATAGTGTAGTGTGTAGTGTAGTGTATAGTGTAGTGTGTAGTGTAGTGTGTAGTGTAGTGTGTAGTGTAGTGTATAGTGTAGTGTGTAGTGTAGTGTGTAGTGTAGTGTGTAGTGTAGTGTGTAGTGTAGTGTATAGTGTAGTGTATAGTGTAGTGTGTAGTGTAGTGTGTAGTGTAGTGTGTAGTGTAGTGTATAGTGTAGTGTGTAGTGTAGTGTGTAGTGTAGTGTATAGTGTAGTGTATAGTGTAGTGTGTAGTGTAGTGTGTAGTGTAGTGTGTAGTGTAGTGTATAGTGTAGTGTGTAGTGTAGTGTGTAATGTAGTGTATAGTGTAGTGTGTAGTGTAGTGTATAGTGTAGTGTATAGTGTAGTGTGTAGTGTAGTGTATAGTGTAGTGTGTAGTGTAGTGTATAGTGTAGTGTATAGTGTAGTGTATCACCACCACCATATGATGATGGTGATGATGATGGTGGTGATGATGGTGATGGTGGTGATGATGATGGTGATGATGATGGTGGTGGTGATGATGGTGATGATGGTGATGGTGGTGATGATGGTGGTGATGATGATGATGGTGGTGATGATGATGATGGTGGTGATGATGATGGTGGTGATGATGATGATGGTGGTGATGATGATGATGATGGTGATGATGATGATGGTGGTGATGATGATGATGGTGGTGATGATGATGATGGTGGTGATGATGATAATGGTGGTGATGATGATGGTGGTGGTGATGATGGTGATGATGATGATGGTGGTGATGATGGTGATGGTGGTGATGATGATGGTGATGATGGTGATGATGGTGATGATGATGGTGATGATGATGGTGGTGATGATGATGATGGTGATGATGATGGTGATGATGATGGTGATGATGATGGTGATGATGATGATGGTGATGATGATGATGGTGATGATGATGGTGATGATGATGGTGATGATGATGGTGATGATGATGGTGATGATGATGGTGATGATGATGGTGATGTGTGTTGTGCTCTGCGGCTTTTGGGAAACTCCGGGACTTTCCCTGCGCTGGCGACGATGACAGCGCCAGACCTGAGTGGGGCGAGTGGGCTGGGAGCATGTGACGGTGTGTGTCAGTGTGTGTCAGTGTGTGTGTCTGTGTGTGTCAGTGTGTGTCAGTGTGTGTGTGTCAGTGTGTGTCTGTGTGTGTCAGTGTGTGTGTGTGTGTCAGTGTGTGTGTGTCTGTGTGTGTCAGTCTGTGTGTGTCAGTGTGTGTCTGTGTGTGTGTCTGTGTGTGTCAGTGTGTGTGTGTCAGTGTGTGTCTGTGTGTGTGTCTGTGTGTGTGTGTCTGTGTGTGTGTCAGTCTGTGTGTGTCAGTGTGTGTCTGTGTGTGTGTCTGTGTGTCAGTGTGTGTGTGTCAGTGTGTGTCTGTGTGTGTCAGTGTGTGTGTGTGTGTCTGTGTGTGTGTCAGTGTGTGTGTCAGTGTATGTCTGTGTCTGTGTGTCAGTGTGTGTCAGTGTGTGTGTGTCAGTGTGTGTGTGTCAGTGTGTGTCTGTGTGTGTGTGTCAGTGTGTGTCAGTGTGTGTATCGGTGCTAACAGCACTTGCCCCAACAGTCTACTCACGCTATACAGGGGACCTTTGTCTGTGTGTGTGAGAGAGTGTGTGTGGGTGGGTGGGATATGCGAGGGATGCCAGAACTCTAGGGGATTTCCCAAAGACTTGTGTGTCGGTGTGTGTGTCGTCTGTGTGTGTGTCGTCTGTGTGTCGGTGTGTGTCGTCTGTGTGTGTGTCGGTGTGTGTGTGTGTCGGTGTGTGTGTGTGTCGTCTGTGTGTCGGTGTGTGTGTCGGTGTGTGTGTGTCTGTGTGTCGGGGAGTGTGTCGTGTGCGTGTGTTGGTGTGTGTGTTTGGTGTGTGTGTGTCGGTGTGTGTGTCGTCTGTGTGTCGGTGTGTGTGTCGTGTATGTGTGTTTACAGGGAAGGCGTGTTGGTTTAAGGGGGTGTGTTTGTCGGTGTGGGTGTTGGAGTTTCTGTTGGTGTGTGTGTGTTTGGTGTGTGTGTATTTGGTGTGGGTGTATGTTGGTGTTTGTGTGTTTGTTCTGTGTGTGTGTTGGGGTTGTGTGTGTGTTTGGTGAGTGTGCGTGTTGGGGTTGGTGTGTGTGTGTTTGGGTGTGTGTCTGTGTTGTGTTTGGTGTGTGTGTGTTGGGGTTGGTGTGTGTGTTTGGTGTGTGTGTGTTGGTGTGTGTGTGTTGGTGTGTGTGTGTTGGGGTGTGTGTGTGTTTGGTGTGTGTGTTGGGGTGTGTATCTGTGTATGTGTCTGTGTGTGTGTTGGTGTGTGTGTGTGTTGGGGTTGGTGTGTGTGTGTGTTGGTGTGTGTGTTGGGGAATGTGTGAGTGTGTGTGTGTGTCTGTGTGTGTGTCTGTGTGTGTGTTGGTGTGTGTGTTGGGGTTGGTGTGTGTGTGTGTTTGGTGTGTGTGTGTTGGGGAATGTGCGAGTGTGTGTCTGTGTGTGGGGAGCGGTGGTGTAGTGGTTAGCGCTACGCTGCGCTACGAACCCGCCGACCCGATGTAAACATCGCCGGCACTGGGGAGACAAAGGCGGCCGGGCGTGGTGCTGGCCACCCACCCCTACTCGCTAACAGCACTTGCCCCTACAGCCCGTTAGAGGCTACACGGGGACCTTTGTCTCTGTTGGGGGCACGCAGATATGTGCTGTCAGTAGCGAGGAGCAGCGCCACCTTTAGACACGCAGACAAAGGTCCCCCGTGTAGCCTCCAACGGACTGTGGGGGCAAGTGCTGCTAGCGAGTACAGGAGGAGGTCACGGGGCAGACCCAGCAGGTGCCATGGGTTGACTGCTGTGCCAGGCTAGGTGCAGGAGGAGGAGGTCATGGGACAGACCCAGCAGGTGTCATGGGTTGACTGCTGTGCCAGGCTAGGTGCAGGAGGAGGTCACGGGACAGACACAGCAGGTGCCGTGGGTTGACTGCTGTGCCAGGCTAGGTGCAGGAGGAGGTCACGGGACAGACCCAGCAGGTGGCATGGGTTGACTGCTGTGCCAGGCTAGGTGCAGGAGGAGGTCACGGGACAGACCCAGCAGGTGCCGTGGGTTGACTGCTGTGCCAGGCTAGGTGCAGGAGGAGGAAGTCACGGAACAGACCCAGCAGGTGCCGTGGGTTGACTGCTGTGCCAGGCTAGGTGCAGGAGGAGGAGGTCACGGAACAGACCCAGCAAGTGCCGTGGGTTGACTGCTGTGCCAGGCTAGGTGCAGGAGGTCACGGGACAGACCCAGCAGGTGCCATGGGTTGACTGCTGTGCCAGGCTAGGTGCAGGAAAAGGTCACGGGACAGACCCAGCGGGTGCCATGGGTTGACTGCTGTGCCAGGCTAGGTACAGGAGGAGGTCACGGGACAGACCCTGCAGGTGCCATGGGTTGTGCTGCTGTGCCAGGCTAGGTGCAGGAGGAGGTCACGGGGCAGACCCAGCATGTGCCATGGGTTGACTCCTGTGCCAGGCTAGGTGCAGGAGGAGGTCACGGGGCAGACCCAGAAGGTGCTGTGGGTTGACTGCTGTGCCAGGCTAGGTGCAAGAGGAGGTCACGGGGCAGACCCAGCAGGTGCCGTGGGTTGACTGCTGTGCCAGGCTAGGTGCAGGAGGAGGTCACGGGACAGATCCAGATGCCACGAGTTGACTGATTGAGATGACTGGCTGATGCACCACCTGTGCCCCCTTCTGTGCCAACTTGCTGTGCTTTAGCCACCCGGCGCTCCGCTCGTTGTTGTGAGCGTCGCTCCTCCGCCCTCCGTTGTTGTTGGAGGGCGACTGCCTCCAACTGCCCAGTAGCGTCCTTCACGAGCCTCCTCCACAGAGGCCGATCTTGACACCGCTGGTACCAGTCATCGGCAAGTCCACTCAGCTCCACGTCCTCCTGTACCACATCACTCCATCTCTTCTCTAGCCCGTGTCACCCACCCACTCACCCACTCACTCACCCACTCACTCGCCCATCACTCCCCCACTCACTCGCCCATCACTCAATCTCTTCTCCAGTTTGGGGCATGCCGTGGCTGGGCATGCGGGCTCCGTGACCCACAAAGCCAGACACAGATACACAATACAGACACGCACACACAGACAGACACACACAGACACACACACAGACACACAGACACACACAGACACACACACACAGACACACAGACACACAGACACACACACAGACACACAGACAGAGACACGCACACACAGACACGCACATGCACAGCTTCCTCTCTACAATGTGCAAGTCCGGTTTGTGCTGCTCATACCTGCAGCGTTCCCACGATCATGCAAGCGTGAATATATACACACAGATACACACACACAGATACACATACACACACACAGATACACACACACACAGATACACACAGATACACACACAGATACACACACACAGATACACATACACACACACAGATACACACACACACACAGATACACACACAGATACACACACAGATACACACACACAGACACACACACAGACACAGATACACACACAGATACACACACAGAGATACACACACACACAGATACACACACAGATACACACACAGATACACACACAGATACACACACACAGACACACACACAGACACAGATACACACACATACACACACACAGATACACACACACAGATACACACACAGATACACACACAGATACACACACAGATACACACACACAGATACACACACATATATATACACACAGAGATACACACACACAGATACACACACAGAGATACACAGAGTGAGTGGGTGAATGAATGAGTGGGTGAGTGAGTGGCTGAGTGAGTGGGTGAGTGTCTGAGTGAGTGGCTGAGTGAGTGGCTGAGTGAGTGGCTGAGTGAGTGAGTGGGTGAGTGGCTGAGTGAGTGGCTGAGTGAGTGAGTGGTAGAGTGAGTGAGTGGGTGAGTGAGTGGCTGAGTAATTGTCTGAGTGGGTGAGTGAGTGGCTGCATGAGTGAGTGGGTAGGTGAGTGGCTGAGTGAGCGAGTGAGTGAGTGGCTGCATGAGTGAGTAGGTGAGTGAGTGGCTGGGTGAGTGAGTGGCTGCATGAGTGAGTGGCTGAGTGAGTGAGTGGGTGAGTGAGTGACTGCATGAGTGAGTGGGTGAGTGAGTGAGTGGCTGCATGAGTGAGTGGGTGAATGAGTGAGTGGCTGAGTGAGTGAGTGGCTGAGTGAGTGAGTGGCTGAGTGAGTGGGTGAGTGAGTGGCTGAGTGAGTGGCTGAGTGAGTGAGTGGCTGAGTGAGTGGGTGAGTGGCTGAGTGACTGAGTGAGTGTTTAGGTGATTGACAAATGTGTTGAGTGGTGTGTTAATAATATAATTAGTGGTGGCATTATCTAACCAGTGGGCGGGGCTAGTCTAACGGCTGGGCGGGGCTTGCATAATGAGGGGGGTGGCTTCTCGGTTGTGGTCACGTGGTTTCTGAGAATCGTTCCGTTGAAAAACTGACGCCCACTCAGAGAGGGTGGGAGAGGGGGTAGAGACACACACACAGTGACATACACACACACAGACACACAGACACACACAGAGTGTCACACACAGTGACATACACACACACAGTGTGTCACACACAGTGACATACACACAGACACACACAGTGACACACACACAGAGAGACATACACACAGTGACATACACACAGACACACACACAGAGTGGCATACACACAGACACACACAGTGTGTCACACACAGTGTGTCACACACAGTGTGTCACACACAGTGTGTCACACACACAGACACACACATAGAGACACAGTGATACACACACACAGTGACATACACACACACAGACACACACAGACACAGTGACACACACACACACAGAGACATACACACAGAGTGACATACACACACAGTGTCACACACAGTGTCACACAGACAGACAGTGTGTCACACACACAGAGACACACACACCGACACACACACACAGACAGAGTGACACACACACAGAGACATTGTGACACACACACACACAGACAGTGACACACAGACACACAGAGACACAAAGTGTCACACACAGAGACACACAGACACACAGTGCCACACACAGTGTCACACACACACACAGACACACACAGAGACACAGACACACACACACAGATACACAGTGTCACACACAGTGTCACACACACACATACACACAGACACACACACAGTGTCACACACAGAGAGTCACACACACACAGACTCACAGGGAGAGAGGGAGATAGGGAGGGAGAGAGGGAGGGAGCGATCCCCCACACCCCACACACACACCCACACACTCTCTACGCACTACACACACACTACACACACTATACACACACACTATAAACACACACGCGCTATAAACACACGCGCACTCTCACTCTGCCCAGCACTGCACGCACGAGGCGAGCGAGGCGAGAGCTCCAGAGAATCTCCACTGCACTCAGAGGTACGATGCCGTACACACCACACATACACCTACACACACACACCTACACACACACCTACACACACCTACACACACACCTACACACACCTACACACACCACACATACACCTACACACACCTACACACACCTACACACACACCTACACACACACCTACACACACCTACACACACACCTACACACACACCTACACACACCTACACACACCTACACACACACCTACACACACACCTACACACACCTACACACACACCTACACACACACCTACACACACCTACACATACACACCTACACACACACCTACACACACACCTACACACACACCTACACACACCTACACACACACCTACACACACACCTACACACACACCTACACACACACCTACACACACACCTACACACACACCTACACACACACACACCTACACACACCTACACACACACACCTACACACACACACCTACACACCTACACACACACCTACACACACACCTACACACACACACCTACACACACACACCTACACGCACACACCTACACGCACACACCTACACACCACACACCACACATACACACACACACACACACCTACACACACAAACCTACACACCTACCTACACACACCTACACACACACACCTACACACACACACCTAAACACACACGCACCTACACACATACACCTAAACACACCTACACACACACACACCTACACACACACACCTACACACACACACACCTACACACACACACCTACACAAACACACCTACACACCCACCTACACAAACACACACACACACACCTACACACACACACCTACACACACACCTACACACACACACCACACACACCTACACACACACCTACACACACGCACACCTACACATACCTACACACACACCTACACACACCTACATACACACACACACACCTACACACACACCTACACACATACACACACACCTACACACACCTGGTCTTCACCTGAGGACGGCTGCTTGCGTTGTGGCCGAAACGTCGTGAGAATTATTTTATTATGTTTTATTTTTATTATTTTATTACTTCCCTTCTACGTGACTTTACCGACAGAACCAAGAAGATCATCAGCTTACTAATAGGGGTTTTTCCCCTTTTTTCTGGCAACAAAACTGACACCTTTTGCAAGGATTCATGCTTACATTAACCACAATGCTTGCAGTCAAATGCAAACAAAAAACTGATTGGTCCACACCAGAGACAGCTTTCTTTAGAGCCTAGTCTCATATGGTGTTCGCCCAGATGACGCCAAAAGGCGCACAGTTCAAAGACAGCGCACTACCAGAGTAATGAGAGCTCGGGGTGAGCAGCTACATCATGGGACCTCCTTTGCCAGTACCAACATACACTAACAGGGGTTTTCCCCTTTTTCTGGCAACAAAACTGACACCTTTTGCAAGGAATCATGTTTACATTAACCACTATACTTGCAGTCAATTGCAAACAAAAAACAATACTCTGATAAAAAAAAAATTTTGTTTGCATTTGACTGCAAGTATAGTGGTCAATGTTAGCATGAATCCTTGCAATAAGTGTCAGTTTTGTTGCCAGAAAAAAGGGGAACCCCCTATTAGTGTCTGTTGGTACCGGCAGAGGAGGTCTCATGATAATCAGCATCTTCTTCTCCTCCTACAGATAGAAGGCAAAGTCGTGAGTACGTGCGTCTGGTCTCAATGTTTAGCGGACTTCCCGACATGCGACAAACTTGAAATTTGCCTCGTGGGTACTTTCCAGACTGTACACCGTGCAAACATGATGAAAACAAAAGATTTCTGTATTTTTTTGGGGGGGGGGAGCTCAATAATGCATCGATTTTTTTGCACGGCAAGTGAGCCGTGACGTCACGTCTGTCACGTGACCCGCGCGTGTGGAAGCGTGACGCGTTGTAGTGTAGCAGGTAGTGTAGTAGTGTAGTGGTTGTAGTGTAGCAGGTAGTGTAGTAGTGTAGTGGTTGTAGTGTAGCAGGTAGTGTAGTAGTGTAGTGGTTGTAGTGTAGTGGGTAGTGTAGTAGTGTAGTGGTTGTAGTGTAGCAGGTAGTGTAGTAGTGTAGTGGTTGTAGTGTAGCAGGTAGTGTAGTAGTGTAGTGGTTGTAGTGTAGTGGGTAGTGTAGTAGTGTAGTGGTTGTAGTGTAGTGGGTAGTGTAGTAGTGTAGTGGTTGTAGTGTAGTGGGTAGTGTAGTAGTGTAGTGGTTGTAGTGTAGCAGGTAATGTAGTAGTGTAGTGGTTGTAGTGTAGCAGGTAGTGTAGTAGTGTAGTGGTTGTAGTGTAGTGGGTAGTGTAGTAGTGTAGTGGTTGTAGTGTAGTGGGTAGTGTAGTAGTGTAGTGGTTGTAGTGTAGCAGGTAATGTAGTAGTGTAGTGGTTGTAGTGTAGCAGGTAGTGTAGTAGTGTAGTGGTTGTAGTGTAGCAGGTAGTGTAGTAGTGTAGTAGTGTAGTGTAGTGGGTAGTGTAGTAGTGTAGTGGTTGTAGTGTAGTGGGTAGTGTAGTAGTGTAGTGGTTGTAGTGTAGTGGGTAGTGTAGTAGTGTAGTGGTTGTAGTGTAGTGGGTAGTGTAGTAGTGTAGTGGTTGTAGTGTAGCAGGTAGTGTAGTAGTGTAGTGGTTGTAGTGTAGCAGGTAGTGTAGTGGTTGTAGTGTAGTGGGTAGTGTAGTAGTGTAGTGGTTGTAGTGTAGTGGGTAGTGTAGTAGTGTAGTGGTTGTAGTGTAACAGGTAGTGTAGTAGTGTAGTGGTTGTAGTGTAACAGGTAGTGTAGTAGTGTAGTGGTTGTAGTGTAGTGGGTAGTGTAATAGTGTAGTGTAGCAGGTAGTGTAGTAGTGTAGTAGTGTAGTAGTGTAGTGTAATAGTGTAGTGTAGCAGGTAGTGTAGTGGTTGTAGTGTAGTGGGTAGTGTAGTGGGTAGTGTAGCAGGTAGTGTAGTGGTTGTAGTGGTTAGCGGTCAGCGCTACGAAGCCGGCGACCCGAGTTCGATTCCCGCTCACGGCCACCACCGGTGACGATTACTTCAACCGCTCCTGGGCCTCCCCTAGGTCGTACTATACCGCGTACCATGTACCGCGTACCGTGTACCGTACCGCGTACCGTACCGCGTACCGTGTACCGCGTACCATGTACCGCGTACCGTGTACCATACCGTGTACCGTACCGTGTACCGTACCACGTACCGTGCCGTGTACCGTACCGCGTACCATACCGTGTACCATACCGCGTACCATACCGCGTACCATACCGCGTACCGTACCGCGTACCATAACGCGTACCGTACCGCATACCATACCGTGTACCATACCGCGTACCATACCGTGTACCATACCGCGTACCATACCGCGTACCATACCGTGTACCATACCGTGTACCATACCGCGTACCATACCGCGTACCATACCGCGTACCGTACCGCGTACCATACCACGTACCGTGCCGTGTACAGAAGCAGTTCACTGTCGACCTCTCACCGACCGCGTCGCGAACCTCCCCCCCCCCCCCCCCCCCAGGCGGACAGACGAAGGCCGCCACGTGACCATGAGGGCCTCCTCCACCTCCTCCACCTCCACCACCTCCACCACCTCGTCCACCACCTCGTCCACCTCGTCGTCGAGGCGGCGAGGCCGCAAGGGCCTCAAGGCGTGGCTGCTGGAGCAGGTGGACTGCGGCCGCTACCCCGGCCTGCGCTGGGAGGAGGGCGCCGGGCGGCAGCTGTTCCGCCTGCCGTGGAAGCACGCCTCCAAGCACGACTACACGCACGCAGACTCGGCGCTCTTCAGGGTGAGGGGGCGGGGGGGCACGGTCAGAGTGGGGGGGGCCCACGGTCACGGTCGGAGTGGGGGGGGCCCACTGGCACGGTCGGAGTGGGGGGCCTGGGCTCTCTCATCATCATCATCATCACGGTGGCGAGGAGATGTTGACTTCCTCGCCTGGTCTACAGGAGGTCTATGTGGAGTCTGCATATCTCATCATCATCATCATCACGGTGGCGAGGAGATGTTGACTACCTCGCCTGGTCTACAGGAGGTCTATGTGGAGTCTGCATCTCTCATCATCATCATCATCACGGTGGCTAGGAGATGTTGACTACCTCGCCTGGTCTACAGGAGGTCTACGTGGAGTCTGCGTCTCTCTCATCATCATCACGGTGGCTAGGAGATGTTGACTACCTCGCCTGGTCTACAGGAGGTCTATGTGGAGTCTGTGTCTCTCTCTCATCATCATCATCAGGGTGGCTAGGAGATGTTGACTACCTCGCCTGGTCTACAGGAGGTCTATGTGGAGTCTGCATATCTCATCATCATCATCACGGTGGCGAGGAGATGTTGACTACCTCGCCTGGTCTACAGGAGGTCTATGTGGAGTCTGCATCTCTCATCATCATCATCATCATCACGGTGGCTAGGAGATGTTGACTACCTCGCCTGGTCTACAGGAGGTCTACGTGGAGTCTGCGTCTCTCTCATCATCATCACGGTGGCTAGGAGATGTTGACTACCTCGCCTGGTCTACAGGAGGTCTATGTGGAGTCTGTGTCTCTCTCTCATCATCATCATCAGGGTGGCTAGGAGATGTTGACTACCTCGCCTGGTCTACAGGAGGTCTACGTGGAGTCTGCATATCTCATCATCATCATCACGGTGGCTAGGAGATGTTGACTACCTCGCCTGGTCTACAGGAGGTCTACGTGGAGTCTGCGTCTCTCTCATCATCATCACGGTGGCTAGGAGATGTTGACTACCTCGCCTGGTCTACAGGAGGTCTATGTGGAGTCTGTGTCTCTCTCTCATCATCATCATCAGGGTGGCTAGGAGATGTTGACTACCTCGCCTGGTCTACAGGAGGTCTATGTGGAGTCTGCATATCTCATCATCATCATCACGGTGGCGAGGAGATGTTGACTACCTCGCCTGGTCTACAGGAGGTCTACGTGGAGTCTGCGTCTCTCTCATCATCATCACGGTGGCTAGGAGATGTTGACTACCTCGCCTGGTCTACAGGAGGTCTACGTGGAGTCTGCGTCTCTCATCATCATCATCATCACGGTGGCGAGGAGATGTTGACTACCTCGCCTGGTCTACAGGAGGTCTATGTGGAGTCTACATCTCTCTCTCATCATCATCGTCATCATCACGGTTTAGAATCAACTCCTTCACACGTTCACGGCGTTTGGCTGCTGCACGACGTTTGCACGAGACCATGACGATGATGACGATGATGACGATGATGACGATGATGACGATGATGACGATGATGACGATGATGACGATGATGAGCTGCTGTCGTGTGTGACGGGCAGGAGGCTTCTGACGAAGCCCTACAGAGCTCAGTGGGCCTCGCCTGTTACCTAGAACATAGTTGAGTTAATACTGAACTCATCATCCTCCTCCTCCTCTCCCTCCTCCACCTCCTCCACCTCCTCCACCTCCTCCTCCTCCACCCCCTCCTCCACCTCCTCCTCCTCCACCTCCTCCCCCTCCTCCACCTCCTCCACCTCCTCATCCTCCTCCTCCTCCACCTCCTCCCCCTCCTCCCCCTCTCCCTCCCCCTCCTCCCCCACTAGGCGTGGGCCGAGCACAAGGGCCGTTTCCGTGCCGGGGTGGACAAGCCGGACCCGCCGGGGTGGAAGACGCGTCTCCGCTGCGCCATGAACAAGAGCCGCGACTTCGTGGAGGAGCCCAACCGGGGCCAGGCCGACATCAGCCACCCCTACAAGGTGTACCGCGTGCTCAGCCAGCGGTCCGCACCACCCCCCACGCGTGAGTCACTCACTCAGTCAGTCACTCAGTCAGTCAGTCAGTCACTCAGTCACTCACTCAGTCACTCCGTCACTCACTCACTCAGTCAGCCACCCCTACAAAGTGTACTGCGTGCTCAGCGAGCGCGCCGCACCACCCCCATGCGTGAGTCGGCCAGCCGCTCACTCCGTCGCTAGCACAGTCAGTCACTCAGTCAGTCAGTCACTCAGTCACTTGCTCAGTCACTCAGTCAGTCGCTCACTCAGTCACTTGCTCAGTCACTCAGTCAGTCGCTCACTCAGTCACTTGCTCAGTCGCTGAGTCAGTCACTCACTCACTCACTCAGTCAGTCAGTCGCTCGCTCAGTCGCTCAGTCAGCCAGTTGCTTACTCAGCCATCCGCCCACCCATCCACCCACCGACTCACCCACCCACTTTCACTCACTCATCCACTGGCCCATTCAACCACCCAGCCACCCATCTACCCACTCACCTATCCACCAACCCACCCACTCCTCTCACTCACCCACCAATCCACCCACCCACTCACCCATATACTCACCCACTCACTCACCTACCCACCTATCCACCCACTCATTCATCCAACCACCCAATCACCCACCTACTCACCCACTCACTCACCCACCCACTTTCACCCACCCACCCAATCACCCACCCACTCACTCACCCACCCACCCACTCACTCACTCACCCACCCACCCACTCACTCACTCACCCACTCTCCCACCCACCTACTCACCCACTCACTCACCCACCCACCCACTCACTCACCCACCCACTCACCCACCCACCCACTCTCACCCACCCACCCACTCACTCACTCACCCACTCACCCACTCACCCACCCACCCACTCACCCACCCACCCACCCACCCACTCACTCACTCACACACACACCCACCCACTCACCCACTCACTCACACACCCACTCACTCACACACCCACCCACCCATCCACCCACCCACTCACTCACTCACACACCCACCCACTCACCCACTCACTCACTCACCCACTCACCCACCCACCCACTTACCCACCCACCCACTCACCCACACCACCCACCCACCCACCCACCCACTCACCCACCCACCCACTCACCCACCCACCCACCCACCCACCCACTCACCCACCCACCCACCCACTCACTCACTCACTCACACACCCACCCACCCACTCACCCACCCACCCACCCACCCACTCACCCACTCACCCACTCACTCACCCACTCACCCACCCACCCACCCACTCACTCACCCACTCACCCACCCACCCACCCACTCACTCACTCACTCACCCACTCACCCACTCACTCACTCACCCACCCACTCACTCACTCACCCACTCACTCACCAACTCACTCACCCACTCACCCACCCACCCACCCACTCACCCACCCACTCACTCACCCACTCACCCACCACCCACCCACCCACTCACCCACCCACTCACTCACTCACTCACCCACTCACCCACTCACTCACTCACCCACCCACTCACTCACCCACTCACCCCCCACTCACCCACCCACCCACTCACCCACCTCACCCACTCACTCACCCACTCCACTCACCCACATCACTCAACTCACTCCCACCCACCCACTCACCCAATCACTCACCCAATCACTCACCCACCACCCAACACCCCTCATCCACACCACCCACTCACCCACCCCACACCATCCACACCACTCACTCACTCACCCACCCACTCACTCACTCACGTCACTCACCCTTTCCACCCACTACACTACCACCCACCCACTCACTCACTCACTCACCACACCCACTCACCCACCCACCCACCCCCCACCACTCACCCCACTACCCACCCATCACCACTCACCCACCCACCCTCCCACTCACCTCACGCCACCCACCCACTCACCCACCTACCCACCCACTTCCTCACCCACCCACTCCTCCACCCTCACTCCACCCACCCACCATCAACCCACCCCCTCACCCACCACTCATCCCACTCACCCACTCACCTCACTCACCCCTCACTTCACCCACACACCCATCACTCACCTCACCCACTCACTCACCCCACCCACCCACTCACCACTCACCCACCCCACTCACCCACCCACCCACCCACTCACCCACTCACCCACCCACCCACTCACCCACCCACCCACTCACTCACTCACATCACCCACTCACCCACTCACCCACTCACCCACCCACCCACTCACCCACCACCCCACTCACTCAACTCACTCACCCACCCACCCCACTCACCCACCCACCCACCCACTCACCCCTCACCCACCCACCCACCGTCCACCTTTGTCTCTCTGCAGCTGCTGTGGTGAGCTCACCCTGCGGCTCCCTCGACTCACACGAGGAGGACAAGGACACCGACAATGGCCGCCCCCGCCCTGCACGTGTGAGTGACCTTGTTCAGGCTGAGCGGACCTAGAGGCGACCCGGTTTAACACAGCATGTGGGTCTCTGTGTGATGAGTCTATGGGTCTCTGTGTGGTGAGTATGTGGGTCTCTGTGTGGTGAGTCTATGGGTCTCTGTGTGGTGAGTCTGTGGGTCTCTGTGTGGTGAGTCTGTGGGTCTCTGTGTGGTGAGTCTGTGGGTCTCTGTGTGGTGAGTCTGTGGGTCTCTGTGTGGTGAGTCTGTGGGTCTCTGTGTGGTGAGTCTGTGGGTCTCTGTGTGGTGAGTCTATGGGTCTCTGTGTGGTGAGTCTATGGGTCTCTGTGTGGTGAGTCTGTGGGTCTCTGTGTGATGAGTCTGTGGGTTTTCTGTGTTGTGAGTCTGTGGGTCTCTGTGTGGTGAGTCTATGGGTCTCTGTGTGGTGAGTCTGTGGGTCTCTGTGTGATGAGTCTGTGGGTTTCTGTGTTGTGAGTCTGTGGGTCTCTGTGTGGTGAGTCTATGGGTCTCTGTGTGGTGAGTCTGTGGGTCTCTGTGTGGTGAGTCTGTGGGTCTCTGTGTGGTGAGTCTGTGGGTCTCTGTGTGGTGAGTCTGTGGGTCTCTGTGTGGTGAGTCTGTGGGTCTCTGTGTGGTGAGTCTATGGGTCTCTGTGTTGTGAGTCTGTGGGTCTCTGTGTGGTGAGTCTGTGGGTCTCTGTGTGGTGAGTCTGTGGGTCTCTCTGTGATGAGTCTGTGGGTCTCTGTGTGGTGAGTCTGTGGGTCTCTGTGTGGTGAGTCTGTGGGTCTCTGTGTGGTGAGTCTGTGGGTCTCTGTGTGGTGAGTCTGTGGGTCTCTGTGTGGTGAGTCTGTGGGTCTCTCTGTGATGAATCTGTGGGTCTCTGTGTGGTGAGTCTGTGGGTCTCTCTGTGATGAATCTGTGGGTCTCTGTGTGGTGAGTCTGTGGGTCTCTGTGTGGTGAGTCTGTGGGTCTCTGTGTGGTGAGTCTGTGGGTCTCTCTGTGATGAATCTGTGGGTCTCTGTGTGGTGAGTCTGTGGGTCTCTCTGTGACTTCCTGGGATCAAGCTCTGGGTCTAAGTGTCTTTCTCTCTCAGGAGGTTCATATTGAAATGTTGATGTTGATGATGATGTTCATGATGATGATGTTGCTGATGATGATGTTGATGATGCAGATGCCTCTGTACGCGTTGATGGGACTGGAAGAGGCTTCCAATCGGAAGATAGAAGCGGATGCCATGGACACCAATGACGATGGTGAACACCAACATCATCAGCATCAGCATCATCAGCATCATCAGCAGCATCAGCATGATCAACAGCATCAGCAGCATCATCAGCAGCATCATCAGCAGCATCATCATCAGCAGCATCATCATCAGCAGCATCATCATCAGCATAATCAGCATCATCATCAGCAGCATCATCAGCATCATCAGGATCATCAGCAGCATCATCAGCAGCATCATCAGCATCATCATCAGCATCAGCAGGATCATCAGCATCATCAGCATCATCATCAGGATCATCAGCATCATCAGCAGCATCATCAGCAACATCATCAGCATCATCATCAGCATCATCATCAGGATCATCAGCAACATCATCAGCATCAGCATCATCAGGATCATCAGCATCATCAGCAGCATCATCAGCAGCATCATCAGCATCATCATCAGCAGCAGCGGCATCATCATCAGCATCATCAGCATCATCAGCAGCATCATCAGCATCAGCAGCAGCATCATCAGCATCATCATCAGCATCATCATCAGCAGCAGCATCATCAGCATCATTAGCATCATCATCAGCAGCATCATCATCAGCAGCATCATCAGCATCATCATCAGGATCATCAGCATCATCAGCATCATCATCAGCATCATCAGCATCATCAGCAGCAGCAGCAGCAGCAGCGGCATCATCATCATCAAGTACGCACAACAACAACATAATGGGATGCATCAGCACAAATTATGCTAACGGTAACCATTACGATAATTTATGTTAATTTATGTTCCTCCACCGTCAGTTGCCTCTCCACCAATGATCGGCGGATCAGCGGAGGACCCGGCCAACATCGACCAATTAGAGGAGGAGCTGGGCCCCAAAGGTGAGTGGAGGGCTCATGGGCAATATCTGTTGAAGGATGCCAACCTGGGTTGGAGCCCTGGGTCTGGGTGTCTCTCTCTCTCTCAGGGGGTTCACAGTGGCCGTGTCAGAGACACAGGGTCTGGGTTGGAGCCCTGGGTCTGGGTGTCTCTCTCTGTCTCTCAGGGGGTTCACGATGGCCGTGTCAGAGACACTGAGGGTCTGGGTTGGAGCCCTGGGTCTGGGTGTCTCTCTGTCTCTCAGGGGGTTCACGATGGCCGTGTCAGAGACACAGGGTCTGGGTTGGAGCCCTGGGTCTGGGTGTCTCTCTCTCTCTCAGGGGGTTCACGATGGCTGTGTCAGAGACACAGGGTCTGGGTTGGAGCCCTGGGTCTGGGTGTCTCTCTCTCTCTCAGGGGGTTCACGATGGCTGTGTCAGAGACACAGGGTCTGGGTTGGAGCCCTGGGTCTGGGTGTCTCTCTGTCTCTCAGGGGGTTCACAGTGGCCGTGTCAGAGACACTGAGGGTCTGGGTTGGAGCCCTGGGTCTGGGTGTCTCTCTCTCTCTCTCAGGGGGTTCACGATGGCCGTGTAGGAGACAATGAGTTCGATGGCTGTGTGTCCGACACGGCCATTGTGAACACCACCCACACCACCATTGTGAACACCACCCACACCACCATTGTGAACACCACCCACACCACCATTGTGAACACCACCCACACGGCCATTGTGACCCCCACCCACACGGCCATTGTGACCCCCCCCCCCCAGCCTCTGCGTTCCGCGTCACTGTGAGCTACCGGGGCCGCCAGCTGCTGTGCTGCACGGTGACCAATAGCAGCGGCTGCCTCATCACCAGCCACTCAGCCTGCGGCCGCGAGCCGACCAATGGCAGCGCAGCGCTCGAGGTCACCCGCACGCACAGCTACGCGCGGCGGGTCGCGGGCCCGGCGACGCCCGGCAACAGGACGCCGCCCTCCCATTGGACGCCCGCGACGGCCGATGGCCCCGCTCCTGACTCTGCGGGCCCCGTCCAGGACGAGTCGTCGTCGTCGTCGTCTCCTTCGCCGCTGCCGCCGCTGTTGTTGCCGTCGTCGTCCGACGACTGCGCCGTGGCGGCGCCGGTGGTGGTTGTGGCGGCGATTGCGGCGGCGGTGATTGTGGTGGTGGCATTGGCGGTGGTGGCGGCGGCGGTCCCACCACCGTGGCACTGCCGTCCGCGGCGGCGTTCCTGGACGCTCGGCACCGGCAAGCGGCGGCCGAGTTCCTGCCCACGGTGGCACGCGGAGTGGAGCTCTGCTTCCTCACTCGCCGGCAGTACAACAACAACAACCGCAACAACAGCAGCAACAACCGCAGCCGCAGCGGCACAAAACGACGCCACCACCTCCGCCACCTGCGCCACCTTCGTAGCGACGAGAGGAGACATGCGGTGGACGCTGCGGGCGGCGATGGCGGTGTCGGTGATGGGGGCGATGGGGGTGGTGATGGAGGCGGTGATGGGGTCGGTGTCGGGGGCGGTGGTGCGGGGCTGTACGTGCGCAGGCTTGTGCCGGGCCCGGGTGTTCACCGACGCCGGGCCGGCACTAGCGGCGGGGCGCAAGCTCCAGCGGGGGCAGGTGACGCTGCTCTTCAGCCTGGAGGAGTTCGCTCGCGGTGAGACGCCGGCAGAGAGAGAGAGAGAGATTGCTCGGTGCACATCGCTACCGTCACCACCGTCACCACTACTACCACACCCCTAGCACCACTACTACTATACCACCACTACCACCACCACCACCATCACCACCGTCACCACTACTACCACCACTACCACTACTACCACCACTACCACCACCACCACCATCACCACCGTCACCACTACTACCACACCCCTAGCACCACTACCACTATCACCACTACCACCACCACCACTACCATCACCACCACTACCACTATACCACCACTACCACTATACCACCACTACCACTATACCACCACTACCACTATACCACCACTACCACTATACACCACTACCACTATACCACCACTAACACCACTACCACCACTACCACTATACCACCACCATCACCACTGCCTACCACCACCACCATCACCACTACTACCACCACTACCACTAACACCACCACTACCACCACCATCACCACTACCACCACCACCACAACCATCACCACTACTACCACCACTACCACTATACCACCACTACCACTATACCACCACCACCATCACCACTACCACTATACCACCACTACCACTATACCCACCACTACCACTATACCACCACCACCATCACCACTACCACTAACACCACTACCACTACCACCACTACCACCACTACCACTATACCACCACCACCATCACCACTGCCTACTACCACCACCATCATCACTACCACCACTACCACTATACCACCACCACCATCACCACCACCACTACCACAACTACCACCACTACCACTATACCACCACTGCCTACCACCACCACCACCATCACCACTACTACCATCACTACTATCACTTACACAACTGCCACCACTACATCCATGACCACTAGTACTAGTTATAGTGCTAGTTGTAGTATAGTTATAGTACTAGTTATATTACTACTTATAGTACTAGTTAAAGTACTAGTTATAGTGTTAGTTGTAGTACTAGTTATAGTACTAGTAATAGTGCTAGTTGTAGTATAGTTATAGTGCTAGTTATAGTACTACTTATAGTACTAGTTACGGTAGTAGTACTAGTTGTAGTACTAGTTATAGTGCTAGTTTGTAGTATAGTTATAGTGCTAGTTATAGTACTACTTATAGTACTAGTTACGGTAGTAGTACTAGTTGTAGTACTAGTTATAGTGCTAGTTATAGTACTAGTTATAGTTGTAGTACTAGTTGGTCGTACTAAGGATGCCCACGTGTGCCCACATAGTAGTAATTATGGTAATTAGTATAGTTGTAGTACTAGTTGTAGTACTAGTTGCTAGTTGTAGTACTAGCTGTAGTACTAGTTGCTAATTGTAGTACTAGTTGTAGTACTAGTTGTAGTACTAGTTGTAGTACTAGTAATAGTGCTAGTTGTAGTACTAGTTGTAGTACTAGATGCTAGTTATAGTGCTAGTTGTAGTACTAGTTGTAGTACTAGTAATAGTGCTAGTTGTAGTACTAGTTGTAGTACTAGTAATAGTGCTAGTTGTAGTACTAGTTGTAGTACTAGTTGTAGTACTAGTTGTAGTACTAGTAATAGTGCTAGTTGTAGTACTAGTTGTAGTACTAGTTGTAGTACTAGTTGTAGTACTAGTTGTAGTACTAGTAATAGTGCTAGTTGTAGTGCTAGTTGTAGTACTAGTTGTAGTACTAGTTATAGTGCTAGTTGTAGTACTAGTTGTAGTACTAGTTATAGTGCTAGTTGTAGTACTAGTTGCTAGTTGTAGTACTAGTTGTAGTACTAGTTGTAGTACTAGTTGTAGTACTAGTTGTAGTGCTAGTTGTAGTACTAGTTGTAGTACTAGTTGCTAGTTGTAGTACTAGTTGTAGTACTAGTTGTAGTACTAGTAATAGTGCTAGTTGTAGTGCCAGTTGTAGTACTAGTTGTAGTACTAGTTGTAGTACTAGTTGCTAGTTGTAGTACTAGTTGTAGTACTAGTTGTAGTACTAGTTGTAGTACTAGTTGTAGTACTAGTTGTAGTACTAGTTGTAGTACTAGTTGTAGTACTAGTAATAGTGCTAGTTGTAGTACTAGTTGTAGTACTAGTTGTAGTACTAGTTGTAGTACTAGTTGCTAGTTGTAGTACTAGTTGTAGTACTAGTTGTAGTACTAGTTGTAGTACTAGTAATAGTGCTAGTTGTAGTACTAGTTGTAGTACTAGTTGTAGTACTAGTAATAGTGCTAGTTGTAGTACTAGTTGTAGTACTAGTTGTAGTGCTAGTTGTAGTACTAGTTGTAGTGCTAGTTGTAGTACTAGTTGTAGTACTAGTTGTAGTACTAGTTGTAGTACTAGTTGTAGTACTAGTTGTAGTACTAGTTGTAGTACTAGTTGTAGTACTAGTTGTAGTACTAGTTGTAGTACTAGTTGTAGTGCTAGTTGTAGTACTAGTTGTAGTGCTAGTTGTAGTACTAGTTGTAGTACTAGTTGTAGTGCTAGTTGTAGTGCTAGTTGTAGTACTAGTTGTAGTACTGTTGTGTTAGTACTAGTTGTAGTGCTGTGCTAGTTAGTTGTAGTGCTAGTTGTAGTACTTAGTTGTCGTGCTAGTTGTAGTACTAGTTGTAGTACTAGTTGTCGTAGTTGTAGTACTAGTTGTATACTATGTTGCTAGTTGTAGTACTAGTTGTAGTACTAGTTGTAGTACTAGTTGTAGTGCTAGTTGTAGTACTAGTTGTCAGTACTAGTTGCTAGTTGTAGTACTAGTTGTAAGTACTAGTTGTATTACTAGTTGTAGTGCTAGTTGTAGTCCTAGTGTAGTTGCTAGTTGTAGTGCTAGTTGTTAGTACTAGTTGTAGTGTAGTTGTAGTACTAGTTGTAGTACTAGTTGTAGTACTAGTTGCTAGTTGTAGTACTAGTTGTAGTGCTAGTTGTAGTACTAGTTGTAGTGCTAGTTGTAGTACTAGTTGTAGTGCTAGTTGTAGTACTAGTTGTAGTACTAGTTATAGTGCTAGTTGTAGTACTAGTTGCTAGTTGTAGTACTAGTTGTAGTACTAGTTATAGTGCTAGTTGTAGTGCTAGTTGTAGTGCTAGTTGTAGTACTAGTTGCTAGTTGTAGTGCTAGTTGTAGTACTAGTTGTAGTACTAGTTGTAGTACTAGTTGTAGTGCTAGTTGTAGTGCTAGTTGTAGTACTAGTTGCTAGTTGTAGTACTAGTTGTAGTACTAGTTGTAGTACTAGTTGTAGTACTAGTTGTAGTACTAGTTGCTAGTTGTAGTACTAGTTGTAGTACTAGTTGTAGTGCTAGTAATAGTGCTAGTTGTAGTACTAGTTGTAGTACTAGTTGTAGTGCTAGTTGTAGTACTAGTTGCTAGTTGTAGTACTAGTTGTAGTACTAGTTGTAGTACTAGTTGTAGTACTAGTTGTAGTACTAGTTGCTAGTTGTAGTACTAGTTGTAGTACTAGTTGTAGTGCTAGTAATAGTGCTAGTTGTAGTACTAGTTGTAGTACTAGTTGTAGTACTAGGGGTATACTAGTAGCTAGTTGTAGTACTAGTTGTAGTACTAGTTGTAGTACTAGTTGTAGTGTTACTAGTTGTAGTACTAGTAATAGTGCTAGTTGTAGTGCTAGTTGTAGTACTAGTTATAGTGCTAGTTGTAGTACTAGTAATAGTGCTAGTTGTAGTACTAGTTGTAGTACTAGATGCTAGTTATAGTGCTAGTTGTAGTACTAGTTGTAGTACTAGTAATAGTGCTAGTTGTAGTACTAGTTGTAGTACTAGTAATAGTGCTAGTTGTAGTACTAGTTGTAGTACTAGATGCTAGTTATAGTGCTAGTTGTAGTACTAGTTGTAGTACTAGTAATAGTGCTAGTTGTAGTACTAGTTGTAGTACTAGTTGTAGTACTAGTTGTAGTACTAGTAATAGTGCTAGTTGTAGTACTAGTTGTAGTACTAGTTGTAGTACTAGTTGTAGTACTAGTTGTAGTACTAGTAATAGTGCTAGTTGTAGTGCTAGTTGTAGTACTAGTTGTAGTACTAGTTGTAGTACTAGTTGTAGTACTAGTTATAGTGCTAGTTGTAGTACTAGTTGTAGTACTAGTTATAGTGCTAGTTGTAGTACTAGTTGCTAGTTGTAGTACTAGTTGTAGTACTAGTTGTAGTACTAGTTGTAGTACTAGTTGTAGTGCTAGTTGTAGTACTAGTTGCTAGTTGTAGTACTAGTTGTAGTACTAGTTGTAGTACTAGTTGTAGTACTAGTTATAGTGCTAGTTGTAGTACTAGTTGCTAGTTGTAGTACTAGTTGTAGTACTAGTTGTAGTACTAGTAATAGTGCTAGTTGTAGTGCCAGTTGTAGTACTAGTTGTAGTACTAGTTGTAGTACTAGTTGCTAGTTGTAGTACTAGTTGTAGTACTAGTTGTAGTACTAGTTGTAGTACTAGTTGTAGTACTAGTTGTAGTACTAGTTGTAGTACTAGTTGTAGTACTAGTAATAGTGCTAGTTGTAGTACTAGTTGTAGTACTAGTTGTAGTACTAGTTGTAGTACTAGTTGCTAGTTGTAGTACTAGTTGTAGTACTAGTTGTAGTACTAGTTGTAGTACTAGTAATAGTGCTAGTTGTAGTACTAGTTGTAGTACTAGTTGTAGTACTAGTAATAGTGCTAGTTGTAGTACTAGTTGTAGTACTAGTTGTAGTGCTAGTTGTAGTACTAGTTGTAGTGCTAGTTGTAGTACTAGTTGTAGTACTAGTTGTAGTACTAGTTGTAGTACTAGTTGTAGTACTAGTTGTAGTACTAGTTGTAGTACTGTAGTACTAGTTGTAGTACTAGTTGTAGTACTAGTTGTAGTGCTAGTTGTAGTACTAGTTGTAGTGCTAGTTGTAGTACTAGTTGTAGTACTAGTTGTAGTGCTAGTTGTAGTGCTAGTTGTAGTACTAGTTGTAGTACTAGTTGTAGTACTAGTTGTAGTGCTAGTTGTAGTACTAGTTGTAGTGCTAGTTGTAGTACTAGTTGTAGTACTAGTTGTAGTGCTAGTTGTAGTGCTAGTTGTAGTGCTAGTTGTAGTACTAGTTGTAGTGCTAGTTGTAGTACTAGTTGTAGTGCTAGTTGTAGTGCTAGTTGTAGTACTAGTTGTAGTACTAGTTGCTAGTTGTAGTACTAGTTGTAGTACTAGTTGTAGTACTAGTTGTAGTACTAGTTGTAGTACTAGTTGTAGTGCTAGTTGTAGTACTAGTTGTAGTACTAGTTGTAGTACTAGTTGTAGTACTAGTTGTAGTACTAGTTGCTAGTTGTAGTACTAGTTGTAGTACTAGTTGTAGTACTAGTTGTAGTGCTAGTTGTAGTGCTAGTTGTAGTACTAGTTGTAGTACTAGTTGCTAGTTGTAGTACTAGTTGTAGTACTAGTTGTAGTACTAGTTGTAGTGCTAGTTGTAGTACTAGTTGCTAGTTGTAGTACTAGTTGTAGTACTAGTTGTAGTACTAGTTGTAGTACTAGTTGTAGTACTAGTTGCTAGTTGTAGTACTAGTTGTAGTACTAGTTGTAGTGCTAGTAATAGTGCTAGTTGTAGTACTAGTTGTAGTACTAGTTGTAGTACTAGTTGTAGTACTAGTTGTAGTACTAGTTGCTAGTTGTAGTACTAGTTGTAGTACTAGTTGTAGTACTAGTAATAGTGCTAGTTGTAGTGCTAGTTGTAGTACTAGTTATAGTGCTAGTTGTAGTACTAGTTGTAGTACTAGTTGTAGTACTAGTAATAGTGCTAGTTGTAGTACTAGTTGTAGTACTAGTTGTAGTACTAGTTGTAGTACTAGTTGTAGTGCTAGTTGTAGTACTAGTTGTAGTACTAGTTGTAGTACTAGTTGTAGTACTAGTTATAGTACTAGTTGTAGTACTAGTTGTAGTACTAGTTGTAGTGCTAGTTGTAGTACTAGTTGTAGTACTAGTTGTAGTACTAGTTGTAGTACTAGTTATAGTACTAGTTGTAGTACTAGTTGTAGTACTAGTTGTAGTACTAGTTGTAGTGCTAGTAATAGTGCTAGTTGTAGTACTAGTTGTAGTACTAGTTGTAGTACTAGTTGTAGTGCTAGTTGTAGTACTAGTTATAGTACTAGTTGTAGTACTAGTTGTAGTACTAGTTGTAGTACTAGTTATAGTACTAGTTGTAGTACTAGTTGTAGTACTAGTTGTAGTGCTAGTTATAGTGCTAGTTGTAGTACTAGTGTAGTACTAGTGTAGTACTAGTTGCTAGTGTAGTACTAGTTGTAGTACTAGTGTAGTACTAGTGTAGTACTAGTGAGTGCTAGTTGTAGTACTAGTGTAGTACTAGTGTAGTACTAGTGTAGTACTAGTGTAGTGCTAGTGTAGTACTAGTTGCTAGTGTAGTACTAGTGTAGTACTAGTTGTAGTACTAGTGTAGTACTAGTTGCTAGTTGTAGTACTAGTTGTAGTACTAGTTGTAGTACTAGATACTAGTTGTAGTCGCACTAAGGATGCCCACGTGTGCCCACAGATGTGCGCCGCTACGTGGAGGGCAGCAGCTGCGTGGCGCCCCCCACGGCGGTGCTGCTCTGCTTCGGGGAGATGCCCGGTGACAGCGGAGCTCACAAACAGCTCATCACCGCACGGGTACGGAGACACACACACACAGAGACACACACACAGAGACAGAGACACACACAGAGACACACACACAGAGACACACACACAGAGACACACAGAGAGAGAGACACACACAGAGAGACGGAGAGACACACACACTTACCTGCTCACCCACCCATTCACCCACTCACCATCTTACCCACCCACCCACTTACCCACCCACCCGTCCACTTCACCTGCCTCCATCTCCTCCCTCCCGTTCCACTGCAGATTGAGCCACTGCTGGCTGTGGAAAGTCTTCGCCGGGTCCGGGATGTCCTGGCCAAGCCTCCACCGCCGTCGTCATCGCCGCCACCGGCACCAGGTCGTCGCCAGGACGACGACCCCGGCAGCCTGGACACCATCATGAAGTTCCTCACCGACACCGACGATGGCGGTGGC